GCTCAGAATTCTCTGGAAGAGCAGAGCTGGATGAATCATATCGGTGTTCAGGGCCCAGAGTTTAAAGGGGCACTTCCTCATAGGTCCCTGCAGCGGCTGGCCCTACACTTGCCTGGCTCTGAAAGCGGACACTTCCCTAGAGTTCCTGTCCCAACTCCTCACACTCCTCACCCTGCTCCTGGCCTGCTTCTGGTCATCTCTTTGATGTCCCGCAAGCACCACTAACTCTCTTGCCCTTCCAGTGTTCTTTTTCCCTGTGGATGGCAACATGGCCAGCTCGGTCACTGACATCCCCCTGACATTGTCCCCTCCCACCCTCTGCACCCATCAAGGTACCAAGTCAGCAAGTGTTTCCTCTTTTTTTAAATTTTTTTTTTTATTTTTTCAGCATAGGAAAATTTACTGGGGAAAATGAATGGAGAATAAGCATAGGGAGTAGGAACAGCTCCTGAGAGACAGGAGGGGTCCCAAATGGGTTGCTCTCCTTAGAATCTCTTGCATTTAGACTCTGTCCTCACCTTCATCTCTCACTGTCACCATATCCACACCCAGTCAGTGTGATCTTGCTAAAACACATCTGGGACAAGCTCCTGCTTATGCACGCAGTGATCCCTGCTGTCTCCAAGGTTGGATCCTGTGACCAGCACCCCACGTGCCTCCCTGTCTTTGCTCTCACTGCCTGGATCTCTGCCCCCTCCATTCCACATTGGCATCTCCCACAGGAGCCACAGTCTCACCGGTGTATCTTTGCTCAAGCTTCCCTATTTTTTGCGCGCGCGGGGGGGGGGGGTGTCTCGGTTTAAATGTCACTTTGAAAAGCCACTTTTGACTCTAAGGCTGATGTGATGCCTTCCCAGGAGCATCCCTCCACCTCACTGTACCCAACACCCGCACAGGGTCTCTCACACTGGGTGCTACTTGGGGACGCTCCTGTTGGCCTCTCTGCCCTTTTTGGCTGCTCAACACCCAGCACTAACACAGTGCTTAGCTCATTAGAAGGTGATCAGCACAGATCTGTTGAGTGAATGAAAGAGTTCAGGAGCCGCCTATATGGACATCCAAGTCTGGAGTCTTAAATCCATACCTCTGACCAGCTGTGTGTCCTTGGAAAAGCGAGTTACGTTTCCTGACATTTGTTTCTGCTCTATCAAATGGAGACGTTGGTACCCTAAATTATCACGAGTGGGTTTGTGCTTCTGCAACCACTTGCAGTTAATTTAGTGCTTGCCCCTCGTTTCATCCACGCCTGACACTGAGCTCTAGGCAGCCAGGATTAAGTGCCCATCTCAGAAATGGTTTCTAATAGGAGAGCAGTAGCTGTTTGATTGTTTTAGGGAGGGTGGCCATAAGATCCCTTTAAAATTGGCAGGAAACAAAAACAAAGGAAAAAGAAAGAAGGAAAAGGAAAGTGAAAGAGGAAAGAGAAAATGCAGAGCATGTGAAAGAGGACAAAAGGGAGAAACAGAAGACAGATGCTGTCTGGGGTCTGGTTATGCTATGCTGCTGGGAAGGACCAGGCTGGCGCTGCTCCCGTAGAGATAACCTGCCCAGGCCATTCTAGTCTCTGAGACATCCCGGAGACACGGTGCCCATGTGACTGGCCTCGCTCCCTTATTGGAAACAGCTGTGCAGAAAGCAGCCCTGGAGCCGGAGCTGGGAGAGAATTTCACAACCTCTGGGGCTGGACTTCAGACGAGCATCAAACATTGTTTATGTGTATTTTGTGTGTGTTTCCTCGAGTCTTTTCCGATTGCTAGGGGACCCAGCCTTGCAAAATAAGCTCAGAGCGCCTGAGTGTGTTGTGTGCCGACAGAAATGGAATGTACCAGCCTTCTGATGCCTGATCAGAGCTCAACCATAAAGCTGAAAACAAAACAAGACATGGTGGGCCATCCAGGAGCAAGGGAAGCGGGAAGGAGTTCATCTTAGTGGGAAAGACGGGAGTTATATTTTCTTTACTCAAGAAATAATAATAATAGTAGCCAGAATCTAAATTAGCCTGTGAGTAAAAAGACTGTTGGAAGCACGTGAAGATGGTAATTGGCTACTTTCCTTATGTCTATGGGACTCTCAGAGCTATCTTTAAATTGTTTCGGGAAGGAAAGATGCTGTCTGCATGGAAAACAGGGAGTTGAGCCTGCTCATTGGCTCTTAGTGCAGGGTGCTGTGGACAGCTCTCAGGAGGTGGAGGCCAATGCTAGGGAAGGGCGGTGGCTCTGGGCTCAGGCCTCCGAGCCTCCTGCTCTGCAGTGGGGTTGGAGGAGTCAGGCTTTTCGGCGGCTCTGAGGCCTTGTTGGTGGGCTGTGTCTGCTTCCTGAGAGTGTTAGCTGGGAGGAGGGCGGGGTGGAAAGGAACTAAGGTGGGAAAATTGCCAGGTTTCTGCGAGATCAACATTCTTTGAAGCAATTCACAACGTAACTGAGATGTAACAGTGGTTTTTGTTTTTGTTTTGCTTTAAAGAAAAAAAATTATCCAAAACCTGTGACTCTTGTTCACGAGCACATGTCTGCATGTAGTCATGTTGAGTTTATGGAAAATGTGGTCAGCCTCATAAATCAGTGCTGAGGAATTCTTAGTCAATACCGGGAAGACATGCAGGTCTTTAGTGTGTCTACTAAGGTTAGGCAAAACAAAACAGAGGAAACGTGGACCAGGCTGTAATATGCTCTTGCCTACCCATGGATGCCCTTGGAATTCTCTCCTGAGAAGTCTTAAGACAGCTTGGGACTGCAGTTCATACCCAGGCTGTCACCTCCTGTGTAGCTCCATGCGTACATGGAGAAGTGTGTGGCCATTACCATGACAACAAGGATACAATTCTCGGCATCTGTTTTTTCCTGTGTATCATGAAATTTTAACAGCATTTCTGTAATATGAAAGTACAAAGTAACCTGGATAATTGGAAATAGCACTGAGAATGAGTTCAAATGTATCCTAATTCTTACATATTCTGTATTTCAAATTTATTATTTTGTGTGGTTGGGAGCGGAAATTCACAGTGGTATGGTGTTTTTCAAAAGGGTTTAGAACACCTTCACATCTTTAAATTCTAATAAAAGCTTTTATTCAGAATCAGTGAATAATATATTCAGTCCAGGTGTGATGTATTAAAGGACAGTTAATCAGGTTTTATTCCATTGTTCTTGGATTTATATAACCAGCCTTGTGCCCTAAACACTGAATATAAATATTTCTTTCAACCCTTTCTTTTCTTATACCGCTCCCATTTCTTAGGCTGACCCATTTTATCCCTTTGTGCCAAACTAATCAGTTGAGAATGGAATGTTAACATATTTTTAGTGAAGATATTCTTTAGTTGCTTGGAATAAAAAAGAATGTACATTTTATCAGCATGTTCTATCACAAAACTAGTACTACTGAACTCTACTTTATTTTTTTAACCTGTTAGATAAGTGCCATGAATCCTTCTGTTTTCCACAGAACCAGATACATAATTAATCCTTCTGTTTTCCACAGAAACCAGATACATAATTTAAAAAGACCGAATATTTTCCCGAATACTAACTTTATAGCTTGGGTCCATTTCTGTAAACCACAAGATGTTTACTTTAAAATTTTCTATGGAAATTCATTCTTGTTGATTGTAACAACAGCAACAACAACAGAAACATATGCTGTAAGAGCCAAGTTGACCCAACATTTATATGACCTGCTTTCACAACACAATTGCCTGCCAGCCTCAACTTGGAGCAAGAAAAGCTACCTGAGAAGTAGCTCTCACAAGCTGTGAAACTTAAGATTAATTCCCCCCAGTCACAAACCGCCCATTGTCACCAGAAGTAAAGCGAATGTGGTGGCAGGGGCTTGCCTATCAGGCTCTGCTAGCGTTTGGTAGAGAAGTCATGTTGGAGTATGGGCAATGCAAAGATATATGCATCCAATACACACCAATTACAATATGGCTTGATTTTTGCAACAACCATTCATAGAAGTAGAAAAGCATATAGTAAATGATCATAGTAGTATTTGCCATCGATTGAGAATTATTCTATGTTCAACACTGGGCCAAATACTTTACAAGCATTACCATCTTCCAGAAAGTACATTATTGAATTTTTGCATTTGCTTTATAAAGATAAAATAGAGAGGTCAGGTAGCTTTCTGAAAGTTTTCCAAGCAGGAAGGAAGGAATATTCAAATTAAAGTCTGTCTGATTTGAAAAAGAACCTAAATTAGATGCCTTTTGGTTTTGGATAAATGGGCCTGATTCCCAAAGAAGTGAATGGAAGGGGCAGGTTGCTGATCACTGAAGGAGATTTTGCTATCATGCCTTGCTCTGCGGAAATTGTGGAAGCGTGTCTAGCTCTGACAGGCAGAAATAGCAGCATCACTTTCCGAACCAGAACAAATTATTCAATTTCCCTTGTCTGTTTCTTCATTTGCAAAAAACGCAGACACGGGCTAGATGACTTCTAAGGTCTTTGTGGGTTTCACATTTATAACTCCTGGTTAGAGACACTGCACACTTAGCTCTGGCAGTTCCTAGACAAAACCTCACCCAAGATAGGCTGTGCTCCTGTAGTCCTGGATGGTTTGGCCCTACACTTGTTAGAAGATGGTAACAGTTTTTTGTGGCCCCTTATTCTTTTATCCTAACCTTGTGGTAACTGGCACTCTGTTTCCTTGCCAGTGGTCAGTGTGGCCATGAATCAGCAGGGCTTCCTCCTGGGACTGCACAAGGTTTGACCCAGCCATATTCTAGTATTTACTGTAACTCTACATTGTGAAGCTCAATATTTTTCTGGGAAAATCCATTTTAGAATCACATAAAAATTCAAGGTCTGTGACAAGCAGAATTTTGAAAATTAGTATCTGATTTGTGACAACATAAAGTAATAGCTGGATTTGTGTATTTGGGGTTATCATAGTTCTACCAAGACAGAGAGAGAGAGAAAGAGACAGAGAGAGAGACAGAGAGAGACAGAGACACAGAGAGAGAGACATACACAGAGAAAGGTGTATTCATGAAGGAGTCCTACCGTATCTCCTGGCTGTGGTCGCATCACAGACACGCGATCATATCCTTTCCTTAGTAGGACCCACAAGGCATCCAATTTTCCCTGAAATAAAACAAAGGCACCAAGATTACATATGAAGCCGGACCAATCGGCAGCCACAGTAGACATCCTGAGCTTTCCATGATTCTTCCACCTTGTGAACAGTACAGTGCTGGGAACAGGACTGTGACAGGATTAATGACTCTTCAGTACCTAAACATAAAATTCAAGCTTCACGAATACAGGAGAAGAGACACACACAGAGGAACCTGGTGCTCATGAAGGATACGCCTATGCAGAGTTCTGAGTTTGCAAACAGGAAGTTCATTTAGGCACTTGACTTTTGTCCCTCCCACATTTTCTGGGTATATCTTTATATCACAAGTCAATCCCTTCAACTTTTACTAACATTTCTTCTTTCCATTTGGTACTCAGAGTTCAAAAATGAAGACAAAGTTGGCAATTTGGGGGAAAATCTCCTGTCCTCTTGACAGGACAAAGCCAACGAAAGGCCCCTGGGATGCAGCCCTCCGGCTGTGTGTTAGGCTCACTCTTCAGCTGCAACTTGCCCCGTAGGCCCAGGCTCCAGAGACAAAGGATCAAACACCACAGATGACAGAGAAGAGCGTCTATGTTGGTGCCAAGATTTGCACATTTTATGATAAACTGTACCCCAAAAACTGATCGCTACTCCCTGGAGCCTGATGGATAGGTTACCTTAGGGTTGGAACACAGAGGAACCTGGTGCTCATGAAAGATACGCCTGTGGATAGTTCTGAATTTGCAAACAGGAACACAGCCCCACCAACACCTTGATTTCAGCTCAACGAGGCCCCCTTTGGGTTTCTGACCTCTAGAAGAGTAGGACAATAAATTTATGTTGTGTTAGGCCTTTAATTTGGGGTACTTTGTCATAGCAGTGGTAGGAAACCAGTATAACCCTTATCATTCCCTGATATATTTATGTTTAATTTGCTTATCTGTTGTCTCTGCCCACTGGAATGCCGGCTCCAGTAAGGCTGCGTAATTGCTGGTTTTGTTTTCTACTGGATGCCCAGCCCTCCAGACAGCGTGTGGTGTTCAGTGTGTATTTACTGCATGATGGATGCTCCCAAGTACTAGATGCTATCACATCAGTCCTTTAATTTCATTCTCTCTATAGTCCTGAGAAGTCGCAGGGAGGAAAAGGAGGGCCGGAGTAATTAAACAATTTGCCCAAGGTACACAGCTTGCAAACTGGAGTTGGGATTGGAACCCATGTCTGTGTAAGAGGGAAGCGCATGTGCTTTCTATTATACCATCTGCAGAGTTGCCCTAGTGCACCTCTGGTCGCTGTGCTTTCATACACAGCTTTGGAACAGGGCTTCTGAACTGTGGACTGCAGCTCTTTAAACTTCATGAGACTGATTTTGTGTGTCAGGAGTGGAATGTTAAAAAATAGAACAGAAGAGAAAATGTTAGGGTTAATAGTACATGGTGAGAATCAGTATTGTTTAGTGAAAAATTTGTTTCAGTTGTGTGTGTGTGTGTGTGTGTGTGTGTGTGCATGCGTATCTGGGTGTGCACTGTTCTCTTGAACCTTTGACAGCTGTTGTTTGAACTTCTGTGGGTTAAACTTTATCTCATCAAGTGTAGTGTTTCTCATGTCCTCTGGAAAGGAATTTACAAAATCCTTTGAAAATATTTTAAAATGACTTTAGAGTGGTGAACAGAATTACTGCTGTGTTCAGCATGGTTTTCTGCATTAAACGACTTCAATCATCAGCTAAATGTTTTTCTGTAAGGTTCTTTGGGGTAAGCATTTATAGCTCAGGATATAACCAGGTGGGTTTCCTGGATGAATGCCTCCCCTATGTCGCCTTTTTTTTTTTTTTTGAGTAGGAGGCTGGACTTCCAGTATTTGGCTTTGTAAATCAGCCCACCCACATGGTTGTGTGTTAATCACTCAACTCCTTGACAAATGAGAAGCAAGAAGGGGCTAAAAACGTGGCTGGTAAAGAACTATATTAATTACCTCAGCAGAAATTTAAAGCTAGGTGTCAGCGAAAGAGCAGAATCATAGATGTATAGTCACAAGAGAAAGATAGTAAATCATGCTCCTCTGTGGTAACATATCATGCCGCGGGACTTAAGCACAAAGTACTGAAGTCAGACAGTCTGAGTCTGTAGTTGGATTCCCCTCACGGGGGGACATGCTGCTTGGACAGGCTTGGACATGGTATTTCATCTTCCTAAGCCTTCCCTCTTCATCATGATGGAGATAATAGTACTGTCTAGATGATAGATTTATAAGACGTAAAACTAAATATTAAAGTTAGGTTCTCATTTAGATAAAGTGCTCATTACATGGTATCTGTGACCCTAACAAAGTCATTCAGTGATATTTGGGCAGCCCTGTTAGAAAGATTAGAAGAGAAGGTAACGTGGGGTATAATAATATAGTAAGACTTTGTCAGACGTTTCTGCCCATCCTCTGTATTCTTCAAGGCCCTTTCTCTCAGCCTGCAGTTTTACCCTTCTTCATCATCCCCTAATTGGGCTTCTGCCTTAATCCTTCCACCAAAACTGCTCTTGTTAAGGCCTCCCTTGGCACCCTGATTGTCAAACGCTCAGAAATTTACCCAACACGTTCCATGTGAGCGATCTGCTGTGCTGGGCTCTCCTTCTGGACACTCAGCTTTCGTCTTTCCTCTTGCCTCTCTGGCTAAAACCTTCAGATTCTTTGTCTCCCTTGGGCTGAGTGCTCTCATCTAGCCTCAGAGCTCACACATTTTGTCTTCAGCTTGGCCCACTCTTGAGCTCAGATGTAGATATCGAGTGACCCACTGGATCTTAACTGTAAGGTTGGTGTATCTCAGGCATCAAAAGCCAAATATCATAAACTGAATGAACCCTCTTCTCCCTAAAACTGTTCCCCTTTTTGCACAACTTGAGACAAGAAGATCACTTTAACCTTTCCTTTCTGTCATTTTCTCAAGGCCAACACCAAGTACATCTTGGGGTGATCTCTCTGTAGTGTCTCTCCTGTCACTTCTCCCTGCCCAGTCTGGTCCCACCATCTCTTACGGCTCCTGCTTTGGCTTGGGCTCATTATGTGAAGAGTTTCTGATTAGTCTTTTACCTCCAAGATGTCTCTCTTCTCTCTGTCTACTGATTCATGTCAGATTGAATTGCTAGTCCAAATGGGTGTATTGGAGTTAAAATAAACACAAACCATCATACAAGCAGTGTGAATTTGAGCAAATTACTTAACCTCTTTCTGTCTTGGCTTTTCTACTTGTAAACAGGAGAAGGAGTAGTTTCTACTTTTGAGGGTTGACTATGAGAAATAAACAACTGTCAGCACTTGGGATCTAGACTGACTTGCAGTGTATACTTCAGTCAGGTGAGCTGTTGTCATTGGCACTTCTGGCCAAGACAAGACTGGTTCCATTGTATCCTAGATGTCTTGAGTTCTGACTGATCCAAAATGACCCCAACGCCCCAAATCTGTGGCACAGAAAATGATCTGGGTAATCTACACAGTTCTCCTCTTCCGAGTCCTTTATTAGGTAGCTTTTAAGGCAGGAGTTAAAGAAAGCTTTAGAAAAAATGGTTACAACCGAATATGATGATGATGATAATAGTAATCATAACAATAATAAAAAACTCTTTAAAGTTAAAAAGAAGTCCATGCTGGAGGCTCTTAGAGCCTAGATTTTCTGAATGTAAGCAGAAGCCTGTCATTTAAAGACAGTAGCAAAAGGGTCTACTTATAATATCCCCTTGAGACCAAAAGTGTCTCAGAGATCCTTCCCACTGGCACTTAGATTTTGCGCTAGAGCCTGGGAGAAGCCTTTCTTATCAAAGTAACTCTATTTATTTCAGTTGTGGGTGTCCAGCATGCAGAAGCCTCTCCACGGGATGAATTTAGACCCTGATCCTTACTCCCCCAGTGAAATGTTGAACTGTTCGTGTGAAGCCGAAACAAAAATTCCTCCATAAATCTCAGAACCTTTGCCAGAATGCATTAGCTAGGATTTAAAAATAGCTTTCTACCATGTGAAGCTGACACAATTGGACTATAAGTAGTCAAATAAAATGAGAAATTTATCAATTCCAGGCTCCCAAACTATATCTCACTCAGCCCCAGACGATAATTTGAATCCACAAAGATAGACAAACTGGAAGCTCTATGTAAGCACGAGCTCCTTTCTTCCCTCTGCACAGTAAGCCTGGGCTGGGAACATTTCTGCGGTCATCGCTCAAAGCACGCTGGCCCACGTGTGTGGTGGCTGAAGTTCTGTTTCTTTCGCCCCAGCCAAGCAGCAGCTGTGTCTTCCCACTTGTCTGCTTTAGCTAGTTGGAAGTCTGAGGCTAGTTTAGTTTATAGCAGTGACATGTGAATTTGTATACTGTGAAATATGTAATGGACAATATGCCTCAGTCTTGCTTTCAATGAGATTAATGAATAAATTTAATGAATTTAAATTAACAAATGAGGTTGGAAGCTTAAGCACACAAAACTTTTTTTTCCTTGAGAAAAGTTTGGAACCATTCTAAAAAGTAGCTAGAGAGGGAGGAAATCTGTTTAACCTCAAAAGCACATTTGAAAAAACTTACTGTTCCAGCTTGTTTTGCTTGGTTCTATACGACTTCATCCAGCACATGACTGAAGGCTGCTTGACTACAGGTCAAAGTGCTTGAGGCCAGAGATGACAGGTGACCCTCCAGGAAACATAGAGAAGCCCACCCTCCTCCTCCACTCCGCAAGTGGGACGGTGAGACGGGGCCAACTTTGCCCCTTGGAGTCTGTCTCTCTTACAGGACTCAGCTGGCCTGCCTGGATATCCAGGGTCTGGTTTTTGTCCATCAGCTATCATTTTAGTCACAAGGACAAGGTACTGACAAAGAAGAAAAGGACTGCAAGCCCTCCCTCAGCCCTGCTGTCAGTTCTGGTTTTAACTTTTGTGATCACATATCAGAGTATGACTTAACTTGTCTGAAATGGTCAGATCTAATTTAATGAGAAGCATCGGGTATTGTAAATCCGGGCGGTGAAAACTGAGCAAAGAAAAAAATGCAGGTTAGATATCAGGGAAATTTTCCTGATCGCAGGCCTGGAATGAGGATACGAAGTGTGGTCGGTGTGGTCACTGCCTTAAATCAGGTTGGGGGGTGGTGGGTGGAAAAGAGACCTCTGTGATCCTTTCCCCACCCACTGGGCTTGCTTAGCAACTGGGCTCACCTTCTAAACTCTGTTTCATGAAATGCATGGGAAAAAGGGACTCTAATGCAATCGACTTAAGTATGAATATAATTCTGGTCACTTTTGCTGGGGAGCAAGGCGTTTTCCCAGGACCTGCTGTAAGTTTTGTGCTAGGTGGAGCTGCTTTTCCTGTTTGTACCAGGGATGGAAGACAGCTACGGTGTGGATGGATGATTCTGCATGTGCTGCTGGACCCGTCCCTGTCTCTATTTCTCTGTCTCTCTTGCAGCATACCTTGGAAGCCTGTTTCTACACCAGTTGGCTTCCCGTTGGCCAATGGATGGTACCAGAAGGAGATGAGAGGGAAAAATGAGGGCAGGTCAAGGTGTATTTTCCATCTGCTCTAGCCCTGTCTTTCTGCCCCCAGCAGAGGCTGCATTCCTATAATACAGGAGTCTAAAAACATTTTCTAGAAAGGGCCAGTGAGTAAAGAAGATAGACTTTGCAGGTCAAGAGGCAAATAGAGGATATTGTATAAATACTTATATAACCATTTAAAATATAATCATTTAAAAATGTAAAAAGCATCCTTTGCTAGTGGGTCATATAAACACAGGTGGTGGGAAGCATTCCAATTGCTAACTCTTGTCCCCTGAACACAGGTCCAAATGCATGCTTTCTTCTCCAGTTGGGTCTCTCACTGGGCACCAGTGCCACCATTTTGTCCCTGTTGGTCGAGGATGTAACAGTCCTCCCTGTTGCTAGTTCCTGGGTGCCTTACCGCCTATGTGGGCCCCTTAATACTGTTCCCCCTCTGTATGTATAATCCTTTGGAGCATGCCTTCTTTTTCAACATAGGACTGTGTGATATATAAAGCTTCAGGAAGGAGCGCAGAGTTTATAGTACCACATGAAGGCCACTGCTTTGTCCTAGGCAGAGGAAATGTTCATAGGCACTGTGGCTAGACTGGGGCTCGGCAGGGAGCATGCATCTCATCAAAATGTACAAGGGCCGAAGCACACCTGCTTTTTGTCGGGATCAGAAGTATACAATATTACTTCTGAATTCCGTACTTCTGTTCTTCTGATTCCCTGGGTCCTCATGTACCCAGCTCAGATATACATCAGATAAGCTCTCTTCCTCTCCATTCATCAAAGATGGCAAGAATGCCCCCTTCATGAACAGTGGGTGCCACTGTGAGCTGTGTGGTCAGGGTGCTGGGGGATGGTCTCCTAATCACACCCCATGCCTCAGCTCTTCAGAGAGAGACTGCAGGGTCCCTGCTCTGTGCCAGATGCAAGGGCTGACTTACAATGCTGTTTGCAGAGCCTTAAAAGCATACTTGGTGCTTCCAGGGGGGTGAAATCTGGTGCAGAGAAGGCTCATAAACATGAGTCATTACACCATTGGCAGTTCAAACACCTAGCGATGAGTGAATAAGTGCTGGCATTAGCTGTACCTGCAGGCGCAAGGCACAGTCATGCCTTTTCATGCCCTAACTAGGGAGTCCTGCTGATGGTTCAGCAAACCTGCCAGCCTTCAGACACTTCTCCTACCTTTTTAGGTCTTTTTAGGTGACTCTATAACACTCCGAATCCCAATCACTTATTATTAACCCAGCCTTTGTGTTGGTGGTAAAAGTGGCCCTCATGTGAAATCTGATGTTGGTCACCTTGCTGAGACTCCTGACAAATCTCCAAAGTACGGTCATGTTCTATTGCCTATTTTAACACCAGGGACTGGCATTCCAGCCATCTGAGAGAGAACTCACCGAGGAATTCTGGCAGGAACCTTGGGGGGCAGCTTCTCAACTGGGTTTATTAAAACCCAGATGGCTAGACACTGCCACTGGAATTTCTGATTCAGTGATCTTTGGTGGAGCCCCAAAGTAAACTTTGCTACCTTTGAGAAGCAATAGTTTAATACAATGACTGGGGCTGAAGTTCAAAAGCCAGGACTGTGGAGAAAGGGGTCAGTGGGCAACACAGGAGTATCACTTTGGAGTTTGGGTGTAAAATCCAAAAAAGGAGACATTGTTATTTCATGGAGCTACAATAAATTTTAAGCTACCAGTTAATACAGGAATAACAGGTTCTCACGAAGAAACTGGATTCTACAAACAGAATTAATATTCTCTCAACCTCTGTGATTACAGAAATAAAAATTAGCCCCAACCAAGGACGTATGAGTCACAAGGTACTGATTCCTGACAATGACAAAATATGAAATCCCGTCGTCTCCATCTCTGAGAATCGACTTGGCTCCTTCCTGTGTGCACATGCATGCAAGCTACTGCATGTTCCCCATTAGAAAGGCATCAGGAGCACACAGCTGTTCCCCAGGCAAGCTGTGCTCAGTCACAGCTTCACAGAGCTCACCACTGCCTCAGGGTGGGTTATTTTAAGAAAGAATCTCCCTGCTTTAAACGTGGCCAACCAAAATGGAAGTGTACTGCGGTTCCGTGAGCCTCGGCTATGTGAATTAGGAGACGATGACTATCAGTGACGTTTCATCCCACTGTTTGAGATGGTATTTCTTCTGATTTTTGTAGGGAAAGATTGCTCTACAATTAGCAAGCATCTCAGTGAATGACACGCATTGTTTTTGTTGCCTTCAGAGTCGGGGTAAAGCTGTTCGTGTGGATGATATGGTGCTGGGAGCTGGGTCTCATACTGTCTTTCATCTGAGGCTGGAAGGAAGTCCCTTTCTGTGTACCCATTAAGCCGGAAACTTCGCTCCTGTGTGGGGGTCTTGAGTTCCAGGTCCCAGCAGAGCAACATCTCTGCCTATCTCAGTTTGTATTGTATAAAGTGAGTAATGAGGGGGGCAGAGACAGATTCTCCCCAGAATCTTTTCAGCTATGATTGTCTAGGACTTTGTGATAACTGTCACAACACAGATGCCGAAGGGAAAGGCTGAAGAGAGGGTGCTGCCCCCCCACAGAAATGCAAAGCCATTTGCCCTCAAGACAAACAGAAAAGTGAACTTCAGAAAGCATTAGCCACCTCCTTTGGCTTAAATTTCCAAAGAAACCAAAGAAATGTCTTATTTGGTTTTTCTTGTCTCATCTCTTTTCTTTTCGTTTCCTTTTTCTTTGTATAGAGGACTAAACACAGGACCTTTGCGCTGAGCTACATCCCCAGCCCTTTGATTTTCTATTTTGAGACAAGATCAAGTAGCCAAGTTGCTGAGGCTGGCCTGTAAATTTTGATCCTCCTGCCTCAGCCTTCGAGAGTGCTACAATGCAGGCTCCAAAGAGGATTTTAAAGGCTAGAGATGTGAGCGTAAGAGAGACAGTCGAGAACAAAGATTTGCTCACATCCAGGAAGAGCAAACCCTGGGGAGAAACACACCTTGATCGGAGAGTACCACTTCCGGGGGGAAGAAGGCCGGCGCATATTGTTGTTGAGATTGCGAGGCTCGGGGAACTCATACTCCTGCTCAGGCATTTTCACCCTTGCATTTTTGGCCTTTTCCAGCTTAGCACCTTCTTCTGTAGAGCCCTTTTCTCCCCAACGAACCTAAAATAGATAGAATATAATAAAATAACAACAAAATAAAATAGGCTGCTGGGGAAAGGAGTGTCAAGTACCAGTCTGGCATGCAGGGAGCATACTACGTAATCCACACGTCTTTGGGGCTTTGAGGACCAGGAAGAGGAGAGTGGAGAAAGGAAGGGGGAGGACAGAGGGTGCAGAGAGACAGAGAAGAGCAGGCCATGTATACAGAGGAAATGTCCAGGCAGTGGGAAGTGTGTACATGTATTAAAGTGTCGGGTAAGAATTCTGGACTTTGTCTCTGCAAGAATAGGAACCATGGAGGGATTTGAGCAGACGAGCAACCTGCTCTGGCTAAGGACAGGCAAGATGTGGGGGTGCACATTAAAAGGTTGTACCTCCTCCCTGCCTTTCTGCCTCGCACCTTGCATCTCCCCCAGACTTCAAGCACGAACTGTCACCATCCGCCTTGGGAGTAGTCATCCCAAAGATAAGTGTGCATTAAGTTTTTCTCTTACCTCCATCCTTTTAATGCCTCCAACACCTCTCCCACCATAATAAGAGGCATCGACTGTGGGCCACTTTTTCTTAGGCAGACCATCGTCATCTTCTTCCTGCAGAGAGATTGTGACAAATGAAGGACAAAGTGCTTTGCCCGTGTGTGTGTGCAAAGTCAACAGGAGCCGAGCTTGTGCAGCTGGGCTGCCTGAGTTAAATCCCAGTGGCACTGCTCCTTGGGGCCTTGGACAAGCCATGCCATCTATCCAAGAATAACCGTTATCTCTAAAGTGGGGGTAAAAGCAGTCCTACCAGGTAAAGGTAGGGCACGATCCTGGAAACTGGTCTCTACTTTTCTGTTCCCATATAAGGTGCACGGGATGGATGTGTCCTCCAAAATCATGTGTCAAAAGCATAGTCCATAATACAACAATGTTGGGAGTTAATAAGAGATGATCAGGCCTTGAGGGCTCTACCCTCATTAATGGATTAATGTTGTTATCTCTGAACTGGGTTAATTATCACGAGTGGTTTTGTTATAAAATTGAGTTGGATCCCTTTCACTTTACTGCAGTCATTTGCACGTGTTCTATTGTATTTCCATCTTCTGCCATGGGGATGATAGCAAAAACCCATTGGCCAGTTATAAGCTGATGACCCAGACATGGACTTTGAACTTTCCAGAACTGTAAGTCTCCAGAACTGTGAAAAATAAATGCCTTTTATTTCACACTCTCAGATATTCTATTATAGCAGCAGAAAACACAATAAGGCATAGGAGAGATCATCTAATTTCATCTACATACCATAATGCAGTGGTGGTGAACCTTTTAGAGACTGAGTGTCCAATATAACCTAAACGCACTGATTTATCAAAGTGCCAACATTGAAATTAAACCTGAATATCTGATGCTCAGCTGCTGGGGTGACTTGGCTTGTGTGCCAACAGAGAGGGCTCTGTGTACCCACTACAGCAAGCGTGCCATAAGTATGCTACCACTGGACCAAGACATAGGAAATCTCATTTGCATACTATAATTCGGTGAATTTGTATCTTCAGCTCTGATTTCTCAAAACGCCAACTGGAGACTTGACATTCATATCTTCCCTTGAGAGCTAATATGCATCTCAGCAATACCATTGCAAAGAAAAGTCCTGATTTCCCCACTCAAATCTGTTCTTCTTGTAGTTCTTCTCACTACCCTGGAGTCACTTTTAAATCCTTACTTTCCGTCATCCTCCTACACCCAATTTGCCCATAGCTTCTCCTGTCCCTACTTCTAAATGATTCCAAATCCACTGACTTTTCCACTTCTAACTCTGCCCACACTCGCATCAGCTTTCTCCTGGACCTCCGGGAGGTCTCCTACCTGGCCTTCCTGCACAAAATCTGTCCTCCACATAGCAACTAAGTCCAAAGCCTTCCTCCCCTGCCCACTTGCCTCCAGAGAAAGATAATTAGCAATATTGCTGTTCATCTCAGTACTGTAATTATTCATGTTATGGGAAGAAAGTATCACTATCATAGATAGATTATAAAGAAGTGGCACGCGCCCTCACCACAGCATAGAAAGGCCGCTGGAAAAGGGGTCTGCTAAGCAGAGAAATGAGCCAAAAGAGGACTAATCAGCTCAGAATGGTTAACTCTGCTCCTTACAGCCTTGTTTGGGTGGCATTTTGGGAGTCATCATTGGGATAGAGTCCTGTGTGGGGCCCAGTTGTGCAAAGGGCCATCACATACAGACAGAAGGGAGGTCAGGGCCAGAAGTGGTGAAGTAAAACAATAAAACATTAACCCATTAAGACTCCTGGAGTCCAGGGCTGTGCTTAAGACAGGTCGGCTTCTTAAAAATTTCATTAAAAGAAAGTGTGATCACTGCAGACTATATTTACAATATTCTGGCATCTGACATTTGGTGCTCTCCTCCGTCTTTAAACAGATCTGTTCTTCACTGTGGGGCTGTCTTACTGACAGCTGAGTTAGTTAGAAATATTATAGGCAGTGAGACAGGGCTAGGTCCTCAAAGGAGCCAGTGCAGGAGGCCAGATACCTTGCAACTCTGGGGGAGATCACCTCCTGCTGTGGGCCAGGCCTCATCAAACAAACGCACCCACATCCTAAAGACTGATATTCTAACTAGCTCCCTATCACCCTGAGGAAGTCAGGAGTCACCATCCCAGCCCCCTATGGGAAGAATCACTGTTCCCTAAGAATGCCTGCTTTTTACCTGACTGGCTTCCCCATTTGTCCCCAGTTTAACCAGTTTGACCTGAACGATTAATCTTATTGGTTAACCATAGTTCGGCCCCACCTTATGCCATTTGCCTTGTGAGTTCCCAGTTTTCCCCACCTTGAACGAATCTCACCCCATGATCTTACTCTATAAAAGCCCCTAAAAAAGATAGAGTCTTTGGCAACCCACTCGGGACCCCTTCTATCTCTCTCTCAGACAGAAGCTTTCTTCTTATATATTCCACTCTTTACCTCTGTTGTTCCTAAAATTCATTCTTTGATTTTTAGAGAACATGAACTCATACCGGACATATAGTAGGTGAGGAATTTCACTCCCCTGTATCACTGTGACCACTGAAGGCAGAATGATTTTGTCCATCCTTGTATTCTGAGTGGACGGTGAGTGCTCAACAAACAGGTAGTGAACTCACGATAACGGTACCACTGAATTTACACAGATGGTGTGCCAGCTACTCTTCTGAGTGTTCACATGTACTAACCGGTTTATCTTACAGCCAGCCAGCAAGGCAGGCAGCCTTGTTCCCATTGTAAAGGCCACAAGTAGTGAGGTTGTGACGTAGGTCACCCCGTTTGGATGTGGCACAGCTGGCTTTGAACTCAGGCAGCTTCACCGACAGGTTCAGGGTTTTGCTCTTTTGTGTTTTGCTTTTCTAAGTCATTTGATGGTAACACAAATGCTAATTTTTTACTTCTCATTATGCACCGATAAGCATAATGATTTATGAATACAAATGATAAGATAAAACTAAAATCTCAAGAACAATAGTAGCCCAGTGTGCCTTTATGATTTAAATCCAGGTTTCTTTCACCTCATGAGGGTTATGTATCTTATACATATGGTTCCGTTTTATGGGAATCAGGGGATGTAGGCCAATGTCTGTGCACACAGATAAATGGAATATGCCTTCACAAAGCCTGGACATCCCTGGTTTAGGGCAGTTTTCCAAAGGCGATAATGTAAATTTTATCCACTAAAATCGAATGTGGTGGCAGCAGGAATGTGAAAAACTGCAAGAGCAAAGCTGCTTCACTCAGGTAGGGGTCTAAGATGGTCTCAGGAGTCTTCACCATCATCATCATCTTTTTTTTTTTTTATATAGACCATCTAACTGGGTCTTTTCATTGTGTAAAAAAGAATGTCAGACCCGGAGCACTGAAAGTGAACTTCTGATGTGGCTTCCTGATTCCTTACCCAACCACTGACAGAGTCCCCCCACTCCTGTACTTTAAGAACTTACTTTTAAAGAATGAGTTAAGTTTACAATTTACTAACTTTTAAACGTCTCGAGTGCTTAGCTATAAGACATAAAATCATCAAATCTGTTTCCAACCTTTCCTGATCTCTTTGTCCCCCCGCCCTCAATCCCTCTCTTCTCCATTAGGTGAGTCCCTGGGAAAGAGCAGCAGGAAATGCTAGATTTGAGAAGGTCGCTCCACACACTGCTGATCCACCACGCCTGTCCTTTGGTCCCTGACCTGAGCCCGCCTGCCAACCTCAAACAGCAGCAAAGTCAACACAGCGACCCAGGCTTTGACCCACGGGAGAGTCAGAGTTTCCCTGCAGTAAGCATGGCTCTGTTTACACATTGTGTGCACAGGAGAGTTTTGCAATCCCAGGAAGAGAGGGGGATCTTTGATGTGTTTTTTCATTTAGCCAAAAATTGTTAGAGTAAAATTACAGACCCTAATAAGTCCACCGTGACAATCTGCAGGGTCTGTGGGTGGTATTTCTAGGTCTAATTAAAAAAGCCTCTTGACAAGTTTCCCCTTGCACTGCCTTTGAATGGTGTGTGTGTGAGTGTGTGTGTGTGTGTGTGTGTGTGTGTGTGTGTATGTGTATGTTTTGCAGGAATAATTGAGATCGTCAGCTTTTTTTTTTAGATACAAATTCAGTACTTTTATGGTTATTAGAGGAGAGAATCTGTTAAATCAAATTTCTTGGTATAAGCACATCAGCAGTTGGTGAGCCGAAAACAGTGAAACTGAGCTATACAAAAGTGCCATGTGCGCCTGGGGAGGTGGCCAGGAAACCTTCTAGTAGTGGAAGGTCAGGGATGGAAAAACCTGTCTAATACACTGTCAGAAGTTACTTTTTGCCTGCGCTGTGCTGTCACCCAGCTCCATACTTAAGTAAAAGTCCCTACAAAGATGGCGCTGGGCCAGGAATGCCGTGGGGGAGTGTAGGGACTGGGCTAGCCAGATAGCATCTAAAAGCAGTCAAGGAGTACAAGTGAGCAATGCCTGGGAGAAACCGCAGGGATCAGGAGGCATGCTGGCTTCCCATCACAGGAAGTTTTGTTTAAATGTTAAAGGATGTGGTGGCCCCAGATATCCAGTTGGCTGACGTTTGGTGACACAAATGGCAGCACATTCCTCAGGTCTTTCTGACTTGCTTGTCCTGAGGCAGACCTGGCTTGCCCTCAGGCACAGAGCTGCTCAGGAAGAAACATTTGTAGAACAAATATGAAGCCTGATGTACTCATTTGGTTAGCCCAGAGCTGTGTGAGTCCAATCCTGCCCTCAGGCACTGAACCTTTCCATCTTTCCCAGTCCTGCCAGGCTTTTTATAGCACCACACTTCAACATTCAAGATGCTTGGAAAACTCTTCTCTCTCTTCTTCTGCCCATCACTTAAGACATCATTCAAGATCACACAGTTACTAAGTGATGGGACTTTGATGTGAATTGGACCTGACAGGCAAGCACAGTGCAGTCCTCCCCTGCATGAGCCTGAGGCGTCTGCAGCACCTGCACCCAGCCAGGAGGCCTCCAAGTGCATCTGGGGCCCTTTTCTCTGAGTGCAGTGTCACCCCACCCAGACCCAGGCGGCACTCAGACCAGGCCCACAGCCCCTTTAAGACTGATATTACAGTGATCACTTATTTTCTGTTCTCTTTCCATGCTCTGGTGTGTTACTGTTCTTTAGTTCTCTTTTGAGCTATATGCTAAAATAAATCTTTCCTTCTTTTAAATTGATTATCTTGGGTATTTTGTCATAATGATGGAAAGCCAACCCAATTATTCTAACTTCATTGTACCTCAGCTTGTCATGTATTAAATGAGGATCATGATAACATATCTTTGTTCCAGGGCAGTTGAATGGTTAAGTGAAATAATCCAGACATTTTCTTTGGGAGTCTAAGAAACAGCTGCACAAAACAGAAACAAAGCCAAACTGGACCATGGAACTCAAATGCAGTGTCTTCTCTTGAAGGATTAGGAGAGGCTTTTGTGGATGTAAAGAGGGTTTTGTCTCCCTCCTTTCTGGACAGGAGTGTAATTTCCTCCCTTGATTTCTGGGCAGAAAGTCAGCATTCCAACAAGATGTGGTTTAATTGATTGCAGCTATTAAATCCCTTGGTTTATACGCATATGGTTCAGGACATAAGAGACACATGGAATTTTAAATTTAATCATCTGCCTTTCTGTATGTAGGCAACTTAACAAAGACATTGGGAAAGGAAGGAATAAGGGGGTTGAGCTTGGTTTGTACACAAAGATAGACTTCAGGGATTGAGGTAAGAGCTTGAAACTTCATCAATATATATTTTATTGCCAGTAAAGTTTCAGATCTTTACTCTGGCTTTTAAATTGGTGAGTTGCTTGCAGGGAGTCCAGCTATCCCAAAGTAGGAAAGCCAGTTGTGATCTTTCTCATGATTAGCCTTTGATGACTCCACTATGTTCTACCCTGATCATCAGAATTGCTTACTGGCCAATTTAATGGTAAGAGTCTGAGATTGTTTTCTTCTTTAGATGATGGGTATTTGAGAGCAAGGCCAGGATATTAGCATATCCTCCTCCTGCATTATTTTTATTACTGCCTGGAAAATCTTTAGGTAGTACTGTTTTAAATTAAAGAAAAATTGAATACTTTTCATTAGGGCATTCCAAGAACCAATAATGGTTTGGAGAAAGAGGTAAATTTGCCTGGACTTCTACATGAAAATATGCACGGAGGAGAGAACACTAAAATGTTTTAAAGGAAAAATTAGACCCTCACAGCTCCAAATAATTGAACTGATAAAAACATGTACATTTGTATCTCAAATTTTATCTTGTGGGAAGAAACCATCTAGTCTTGGCTGTTACTTTAGCTCTGTGCCTGTTCATCCTTGATCAGGAAAGAGTCAAAGCCTTTACATCCTGCTGCTTCACAAGCAATGGGGACTGGCCCTGCTTGCCTGGGGGCTAAGTGTCCCAGTACCCCAGCCAGCCTTTGGTTCCCCTCTACTATTCTGCCCATCTGGCTGCACCCTGCTCTGGCCACTTACCTCACTCTCTTCAACAGGGGGTGGTGGGACTTCCTTGATGATCTGCAAAGGAAAAAGAAAAAGAAAAACAGATCAGTAAACTTCAGACACAGGTTTTCTAAAAGACCAGCTCCTAGGAGGTGCCCCAAGCAAGGCAGACTTGATCAGTGTCATGATCTTCCTGGACAGAGTATCACATTTCATTTGAGCATGATCCAGGCTGCAGGTTCCTTTCTCAGTATGGTAGTTTTTGTATAGAAAAAACTGTTTCTCGGGTGACAGTCTCATCTCTTATTACAGCTAGCTATTTTGCAAATGTATTCTTTCACTTACGTATTCATCCAATCATTTATGTATCAAATCATTTACCCCTCTATCCAACCATCTAATTACCTACACATCTAAGAAGGAATGGTTACACAGTGGAAGTTAAGAGGATGCTGTAGACAGGAGCTAGGTTCAGGCCATACTTAGGGAACTGGCAGCCCTTAAACTATAAATAGAGCCCATAGAAAGAGAATGTGATGGTCAGGTAGACTGAGTCTTAACAGCATACAGCAGTGGATGTGTCCCCAGTGATCTCTTTCAGGGAACTGGAATTTAGAGGCACAAAGATTTAAATAACACCATCATTAGATTGCAGCTTTTTCAACTGAAGGACTGAACAGAAACACATAGATGTTGTGGGCAGGCAAGTAACTGGGATCCCCTGCTAATCCGTGAGAGAGTAGATGACCTAGAGGAGGACAGGGAAGGAGGCTGGCTGGGTCGCACACTTGTTCTCAACTTTTATACCACTCATACAATGAAAGCTTTCACAGTTCATAGGATTTATGGTGTCTTACATGGCAGTATGGCAAATATTTGCTTTGATCTGCTACATCCCAAGGGAGTTCCCTATATTTCCCCAAAGATTATCAGAACTGTGGTCCCTTATGTGCAGTGCTTTTCTTGAGAACTTCTAATATTCTGACCCCATATTTCTGGGTCTCTCAGCCTCAGGAATGGTCACATTTAGGTGGATGTTCAGGCATTTTCCTAGGAGCTTGCCTTTGGCTGCAGCCAAGCTGTCTAGCCAGCATTAGACTCCTCCTCACCTCCTTCTACTAAGCATGTATCTCCTTTGATCTGATAAACCTGAGGTTTTCTAGAGCTCCAGTGTCCACTGCTGCCACCTACCCTACCAGTGTCTATAATGGCACCTCTGAGTGATGAGCTAGGTTACCAGCCTTGGTCAGTGGACTAAGGCTCCAGGCGTCTGAAAGGACAGTATTCTATTAATTGGAGAGGCAGAGATAAAGGTCCCTAGGGGTTTTGAACTATCATTTCATCTACCTCCACTTCCTGGCTGCTGTGGGAAGCCATGATTTTGCTCACCCACTCAATCTTGGCTCAGAATTTCTTCAGAAAATCTCAAGAGAGGGCCTTTACTACTCACTATTGATTTTCCAGCATCCTACAGCAGTAAATTATTTTAAAGCAGGAAATGCGTGGAAACTGAAGGGAAGGATGAGGAAAGGGGGACAGAAATTTAGAACTAAGAAAGAGGAGTGGGAGGAGACTATGATGGGAACACAGGCTGAGGCTGACAAGGGTACTGTGGGCGGTGTGCATGGCAAGGTCTCTGGCTATGAAGAGGTTTAGGTTAGAGCAGCCAAGCTCTATCTTTGTGCTGTTAATTAGCTGCTCTCTCTCGTGCACAGCAGTCCTATGTGAATCCCAGACCTGCCTCCTCCTGATTGCAGGATTTTAGAAGTCTCTTAGGTCCCTGAGCTCCACATAGAAGTTGAACAAGAACATGGACCCTATAGAAATAGTCATGACACGTAATCAAGTGCGTTGAGGACTGGATAGAGAGGAGGTGCTCCATAGATGATGTGCTCTATGAGCACTCTCCTTTACATTTTTCATCTGCTTTTTCCTTTTATTATATCTTTTGGAATTTCTAAAATAAGTGAGACAAGAGACTGGTGTCCAGACAATGGCCAGTGGGCCTAACAGTGACTAGAGGCTTCAGGGGTGTCCGTAGCCATGACATTGTTAGCACATGACATTAACCAGGAAATGTAGCACCAGATGGCCCACCCCACTGAACAACCCAGCTGTGGGTCTGCTGCTTGATTTAGTTTGTGTTTACTGAATATCTACTTTATATCTTGCAATGTGCCAAACCCTAAGGCAACCTAAAAGACAATGCAGAAATATGTGATTTATTAAATATTAATCAAAGGGGGACTAATTTATAATCCAAATTGCACAATGACACACTGGAAACATCTCAACTTCTGGAAAAAATGCCACCATGTTCAAACAGAAATTAGGCCCCTCTAGTCTGGCTTCACTCATTGGGTGTCCAGCTGCAGTTTGCAGGAATAAAGAAGTTTTCTCAGTGCTTCAAGCCCAGGAAGCAGCTCATTCATAGGATAGCAAGAAATCTTGAAACCTGTGCCCCAGACAAGCTGGAGCCATGCGATGATTATCCCAACCAGTGAAGTTCTTGAACATGGGTTATCCAAAGGGGTACCCAAAGGACCCTCTGAGTAGAGGGTCATGTTGTGTCTCCCGGTGCCCCCTGCACCCCCAGCAGTTTGGGCAACGGCCTGGATCATTCTCAAGACTGCAGCACCTCTGCAGCTGTATGCTCAGCTGCACCCCTGTAGGTTCCTGTTAACACCGACTGATCACACAGGCGACCATGGCCAGTAATGATCTCCCCCCCACCTAAGGAATGATATAGATTCAGCAAGGCTTCTTCTTTTGGCTCTCAATTATGATTAAGAATGTTTATGCTTTTATAGTACTTCATAATTCTTTGTTTCCACTTAGCCTGACCAGAAAGGCCCTATTCCCAACTAGACTGAAAGCTAGTATCAGCTATCAAGCTCTGGTGGGGTTCGGCCCACTTTTTTTTTTTTTCATGCTTGTAGGTGGGTTCTTCAGCTCCTTTTGCATCAGGATGGACAAAGAGAAGATGGATAAAGTTGAAAAGACTCTTCACAAAATACTTACAAGGAAAATGCCACCATCAATGTATCTATAAGCATAGCATGGTTGAACCCAACAAAAGTACTGGCGAGCGCCATGGCCCCACGTACTGCCACCATCTTTAGATTGGGTGTGGGATTGGCAGGAAGAGACCATTTGCCTTCTCAGGGTTGCTGCCCAGGAAGCCCATTTTGAGGCTAGAGTCCCTTTGCACAACAGTTGGACTGGTGATGTAAAGGGGATAAGAAAAACACAATGGATGAAACTTCTGAATTCTGTTTGTGTTTCTTTGCTACCTGAGAACTTCACATCTCCTCAGCCCTCTCGTCAATGACTTTACCTCTGACTTACCTATCTCTGTCCAGGAAGGCACAAGGAGAGGCCAGATCTCACAAAACTGTTGTGTGGATAAGCAAAGTCGGGAAAGAATCTTATCACACTGAATTGTTACTTCTGTCATGCCCAGTTCAAACTCATGAGTGTGCTGTTGTGGCCGTGGTGAAATGTGGAGATGTATCGCGGTGTGAACAGAGCAAAAGGTCATGTGAGCCAGGGCCGGTCTGACATCTGAAAAATTCAACCACTGTGATTTATGCAACAGGTTCAGCCCCTGGATCTCCATGAAGCTCTCTCTTCAATTTACTTTACAAATTGTAAAGGTGAAGTAAAGTTCTAGATGGAGTTTATTTTGCTTGTTAAGTTTTGTTTTTCCTCAAAGATATATTGATCTTTTTGGTCTTTGCTGATGTGTTTGCTCCAGCTAACTCTACATTATGGTCTTTTACAACGGAAAGCAAATGCTCACTTGACAATCCACTTAAAGTTGAGAGTCAGTAAGACACAAGCCAAAGTCTTCTCTCAGGTCTCCTGCTTTGTCTATTTTGCCTTGTTGAGACGTCCTCCAGTGCAACCTCACAGTTCTTCTTTTCTTATCTGTCTCTACCCTCAGTGACAAGAATTGGTTATACACTAAACTGGACAAGCTCCTAGGAGACAGTTATTCATCCCATGGCATTAGAAGTGGGACTAAACAGAGAGTTCTTTTGTTTCTCAGTTTTAGTATTTTGGTATCTTTGTTTTTTTGAGATAGAGTCCTGCTATGTAGTCCATGCTGGCCTTGAACTTGTGTGATTCTCCTGCCTCAGAGTGCTGGGATTGCAAGCATGCACCACCATGCCCAGCTTTTATATGCTTTTTTGCTTGAGCTATAGTCAGAGCATCTCCTCTAAACTTTATACCAAAGGTGTGTGGTCTCTGGCTGCAAAGGAGACACTTCATTGGCAAACAGTGGAACACTGGCTGTCAACAGAACAGCTTAAGGCAACTACTACACTAATAAAACCAGGCACTTCCCTCTACTTGCAATTATCCCAGTGGTTTCAAACTTTTCAAGTGTCAGAGTCACCCAAAGGGTTTCTTCAAGCACAGATTTGTGGGCTGTATGCCTGAGTTTCTCATTAGGAGGTCTGGACTAGGTACTTGAATATCTAACAGGTTCCCAAATGATGCTGGTCCTGCTGGTCTGTGGCCTCATTTTGAGAGCCTTGAATTAGCCTATTCCTAACAACTCTATGTGCCAATTAGGTATAGAGGAGAGGTATGTTTTGTTTCAGGTCAGACATTCCTCTAGGTGTCTGCTGTGTGTTATTTAGAGCTGAGCAGAAACAACTTCAGAAAGTTTAATTCTAACAACGATGGTATCCTAACTCTGTTGCCTGAAATGTTGGGTTCCTCCAGTGCCACACTGTCACATGGTGGGAAAAACAGTGTGGTGGAAGAAATTCAGCACTCCTCACAGGCGCTATCCAGGGTTTGTGGCATACAGAGCCCAGCACTGGGGCCACCCCACCAGATGGCCCAGGGAATTAGGGCACAGATAAATCTTCGGCTGTCTCTGGTATTGGCAATGAACTCACTGAGCTGTGTTTGCCTCCAGGAGACATAGAGTACTTGGTTAGCTTTCATCTTGGAAGTATAGCTCAGGATTTGCTACTCAAGTGTTGGGCTGAATGAGGGTATGTTCTCGTAAAGGGAAAGGAAGTATTTCTGAGTGTTTAAATAGTCTTACCTCTCAAGTG